TCACCACCCCCCCCCGCCGCATCGTCTTGCGGGGCGGCTCCGCTTCGCTGTAAATCCCCGCGATTTTGGCCGCTGAGGGAAAAAAAAAAAATGGTTATTTTTGAACGTGCCGGTTTTGGGGTCCCCAACCCCTTTTTTGGAGTTATTTGGGGTGTGTGTGTCCCCCCCATACCGATGCGGCGCTCCTCGAGTAGGGACTTGATCTCGGCAATTTTATCCAGCGCCTTGCGGAGAATGCTGCGAAAAAACGTCAAAATGGGGAAAAAAAGGAGAAAAAGGGCACAAAGGGAGGGGTTGGGGGAGTTTTGGGTTAAAAAGAAGGAATTTGGGGTTGAAAAGAGGGAGGTTGGGGGGCAAAAAGCATTTTTGGGGCAAAAAAAGGGTTGGAAAAAAAAAATTTGGGATGGAAAAGGGGAAGTTTGGGGTTAAAAAAGAGAAATTTGGAGAAAAAGCTGGAGTTTGAGGTTAAAAAAGAGAAAATTGAAGGGGAAAAGGGGAGCTGGGTGTGGAAAAAGGAGATTTTGGGGTTAAAAAACAAAAATTTGGGGGAAAAGGGGAGTTTGGGGGGGAAATAGGGAGTTTTGGGTTAAAAAAGACAAATTTTGGGGGGAAAGGGGAGTTTGCAGCAGAAAAATGTCAGTTATGTTAAAAAAAACGCAGTTGGGGTTAAGAACAAACGGGTTTGGGGTTGGTAAGTGGGGATTTTGGGGTTGAAAAAGAGAAATGTGGGTGGAAAGCAGGAGTTTGGGGTTAAAAAATGGGAGTGTGGGAGTGAAAGGGGGAGGCTGGGGTTAAAAAAGAGAAGTTTTGGGTTTCAAAAGAGAAGTTTGGGCCAGAAAATAGGGAGCTTTGGGTTAAAAAAAGGGAGTGTGGCGTTAATGAGGAGAAATTTGGGATGCAAAAACGGAATTTGGAACGTAAAATGAAGTTTAGGCTTAAAAAAGAACAATTTGTGGGGGGGTGGAGGGAGTTTGGGGTGGAAGTGGGAGAGCCTGGGGTGGAAAAAGAGAAATTAGCGATTAAAAACCGGGAGTTTGGGGTTAAAAAGAGGAATTTGGGGTTGGAAAGAGGGATTCTGGGTTAAACATGGGGGGAGGAGTTGGGGGAAAAAATGGGGATTTAAGGAGAGAAAGGAGGATTTGGCTGTAAAAAATTGAGGGTTGGGGGTTAAAACTTGGGGGTTTTGGCTTAAAAATGGCGATTTTGGCATTAAGAATACAAATTTGAGACAGAAATGGGTTTTGGGGATGGGAACGTAGAGTTTATGTGTTAATAAATTAAAAATTTGTGTTGAAAATGGGGATTTAGGGTCAAAATACAGGGATCTGAGATTAATGTGCATTTGGGGTTAGAAATGGACGTTTGAGGCTCAATAAACGTCGGGTTTACACTAAAAGGGGATTTAGGTGTTAAAAACGGGGATTTGGGGGAAAGGGGCAGTTGGAGGGGAAAAAGGGGGATTTGGGGGTAAAAAAGGTGTATTTGGGTGTTAATAAGTGGGAAAATTCCGCAAAAAAGGGTGATTGGGGGGTAAAAACAGGCATTTGGGGTGAAAATGGGGGATTTTGAGATTAAAATGGGCGGTTTGGGGTTAAGGGGTGGATTTTGAGGAGAAAAAGGAGATTTGGGAGTAAAAAAGCAGCTCTTAAGAAATGGGAATTTGGGGGTTAAAAAATACGATTCACGGGTGAAAACTGGGGAGATTTGGGGGTGAAAACAAGATTTAAAGGTAAAAATGGGCAGTTTGGGGTTAAAGAAGGGATTTGAAGGGGGAAAAGGGAGACTTGGGGGTGAAAAAGGAAGATGTGGGAGTTAATCAATGGAAATCTTGGGCAAAATATTGGGATGTGGGGGTAAAACCGGGGGATTCTGAGGTACCAAATAGGCGATTTGGGGTTAAAGGATGGATTTGGAGGGGGAAAAGGGAGATTTGGGAGCGAAAAGGGGAGATCTGGGGGCAAAAACAGGAGATTTTGAGGTACAAATCGTCAGTTTGGGATTAAAAGTGGGATTTGGAAGGGAAAACGGGAGACTTGAGGGTTAGTAAGTGGGAGTTTGGGGGTAAAAATGGGGATTTGGGGGTGAAAGCGGGGGATTTTGAGGTAAAAATGGCCGCTTTGGGGTTAAAAGCACGGGTTGGGTTAAAAAACGAGGAGACTGAGATTGACAGTGGGGATACTGGGGTTGAAAATCAGGATTAGGGATTACAAAACGTGGTGTTTGGGGGCAAACGGGGGATTTTGAGGTAAAATGGGCATTTGGGGTTAAAGGGGGGATTTGAAGGGGGAAAAGGGGGACTTAGGGGAACGTGGTGTTTGGGGGCAAACGGGGGATTTTGAGGTAAAATGGGCATTTGGGGTTAAAGGGGGGATTTGAAGGGGGAAAAGGGAGACTTAGGGGTAAAAAAGGGAGATTTGGGGGTTAGCAAATGGAAATATTGGGGAAAAAAATGGCCATTTGGGGGTAAAAATGGGGATTTGGGTGTGAAAACGGGGGTTCTGAGATAAAAATGAATGGTTTGGGGTTAAAGGGGGGATTTGGATGGGAAAAATGGATTTTGGGGGCAAAAAGGGGAGATTTGGGGGCTAAAATGAGGGATTTTGAAATAAAAATTGGTGATTTGGGGTTAAACAAGGGATTTAGAAGGGAAAAAAGTGAGACTTCAGCATTAATAAACAGGAATTTGGGGTAAGAAACAGCGATTTGAGGGTAACAATGGGGATGTGGGGGTGAAAGCAGGGGATTCTGAGGTAAAAACGGGCGGTTTGGGGTTAAAAGCGGGGGTTGGGGTCAAAAACGGGGAGACTGAGAGTGACGATGGGGATATCGAAGTTGAAAATAGGGATTCAGCATTAAAAAACGTGGCGTTTGGGGGCAAACGGGGGATTTTGGGTGTAAACGGAGGGATTTTGGGAGTAAACAGAGGGATTTGGGGGGTAAATAAGAGGATTTCAGGTTAAAAATCAGGGGTGGGAGCCTACTTGCACTCGGCCTCCGCGTCGGCCTTGGCCGTAGTGTGGAGGCCCCGCAGCTTGGTCCGGTAATA